AGACAGTCAAATGGTAGTCTTCTAGCAGCCAGGGAACAATTGCACAACTTATTTTCAGTTAGCTCCAGGAATACCACATACAGTAAAAGTGTAGCTGACCTACACTGTAATGTGGTAAGAAGTATTAACCCCATGAGCTGAGGCTCCAGAGGATATTGTGTATCTTTAACTAAGACAGTCAAATAAAGACTGTCAGACTTTACTTGGGAGCCAGTGAAAAAAAGAGAAACTTAGCAGACTACGTTAGCAACCAAGGAAAATAGAACTCCAGTTTGAACCAAGAATGAGGAGGAAAAAACTTATCTCCATCAACAACATATCCCTCCTGAGAAACCAGTTGGTGGACACCAATCGATCACTCCATACACCCCTATTCTTCTTGTGGAAGAGAGGTACCATAGACATAGGACTTGTGGGGCATCGCAACGATGAACAAAACTCTACTAGGAAGCAGGCGTCAGCAATTTTAATGTATTATTAACGAGACTTTTTCTGATAACTTGGACTGTGCAGTATTATTGTAACCAGATTAATAATTTGTTTGCTATATTCTGATGAGACTTTTACAACTTTAGCTAGCCAAGCAATGACGTCTTGATGATGTGTATGAGGTGTGCATTTCCTTTTGGACCGTAATAAGTCTCTGAGTGTAACAGAGACTGTGAGCAGCTTTTCTGCGAAAATCCTTCTGTGGATGGCAGTTTCTTGTGATCACAGAAGACCCAGAATGCAGCTAATGTGTGTTCCCGTGGTCCTGGCAAGCATCTCGCTTATACACCTATCTACATTTCATAGAAACTGTTGGAATTGGAGAACAAGGTTGCTCAAGCACTCAGAGCCCAATTAGCATAACACACATACTGACCAAGAGTTTGCAAACTTCAAAGTGTTACGGCCAAAACTTGCCAGTAATGAGACCAAGTGAGAGAGCATATGGGCAATGTGGTCAGTGACACATAGGTTAGATCAGGAAATTCAGACTTCAAAAGCAAAGGCAAGAAATTAAAAGCTGAGATAGGAGCCTACTGAGTTAAAACACTGAGAAAGTAAAACTCTAGAATGGATTGAAGCTGTAGAGCAACATTATGTGCAAAGCAAGGCATGGATGCAGCTCTTACCAAAACACCTCCATGATGATGCCAACTTAGGAGATAGCGGATAATGGTTTGATCAAGATAGTGACCCTTCCACAGAGAAGTATAAGGCTAAAAGTCCACATGCTTCTGATGCTGAGGTGCTTCCAGTGCTCAAAGTGAACCCTGTACCACCCATCACTACCTGGGTTACTGAAAAAACAGAAGATGGGCAAACAAAAGGGAAAAGAAATACACACCTGGAGTCAGACTGAGTTTGTAGGCAAGAAATAATGATTACTGCTCATTAGATCCCAGAATACCCAAGAGTCTTGGCCCCAAAAGTAGATCTTTTAAACAAAAAACCTGTGTATTAAATGGCTTCTTATGTTAGTTGCTAATACTAATTTAACCATGACTGATTAGGAGAAGTCCTCTTGAGCATCTGCTACAGCTTCTGGGTAGACTGATGGAATAACTGATATAGATGCAAACTTTGAAGTAGTAAATTATCATTACAAGTGGATACATCACCCTGTATTATATAGGTTAGCACAAGTCAAATGTAACAGTAGAAATATATTTGACATGGAAAAAGTTGACAGCCTCTGCTTGTAGTCTTCTAAACAATAGAGGCAGACAAGCCCCAAATTATGACCAGGTTGCATTCTAACAGTTGTTGTGTATAGCCTAGCCCCAGGGCACTAAACACAGCTATAAAGCAGGAAAAGGATCTTAAGTGGGGCTTAGACAACGTTAGGATCCACCCACAACAAGGAATGATCTGTTGTGCTAAGAAGAGTCTGGAGGAGTACAGTTATCCACTACCATCAGCCTCAGTGCAAAAAGAGCTCCACAGTAGAGAACCAGCTGAAAAACTAAGAGAACCTTTAGTTTTTGAAGGCATTGTAAAAGCACGGAGGGCCAGGGATATGGTCAAAGACAACACCGCCAATCACTATCGCATCAGACTCAGAACAGATTAGTATAATACTACAAATGATAAGGACCTTAAATGATGATAATTGCATTGAAGGGGTACTTAAACTAAAGAAAAGCCCCATGCTTGACAAATAAGAATTTATCTTGAGGAACCAACCATTGCTCAGACTGAGCAGCAAGATCCACTATTGCTTGGACAGACTTAGCAAAAGGGATCCAGCAAGAAGGAGAGTTATAAGAAATGAGAAAAAGGGATAATAGCACACTGGAATTATCCAGCCTTTAACATTTGCTAACAGCAGACTGCAGCAGTGGAACTGGAGAAGGAAGGTAAACGTGGCGCAGGATGTAGTAGGAATGCCCAATGTTGTATGGACCTTGCATATGGAAAAGCAAGGAAGGATAAAAAAGAGAGTACAGAAGAACAAATAGTCCATTTCAACCCTAAGGGTATCAGTTTACATTGATTTGGTTTAGTTGATTTTACTTTCTTTTTATTGTTCTATATGTATATATTAAATGGAAAAGATATAATACTGGGGTTTTTTTAGTCAATTCCCACTGCTGAAGTTAAAACCAAGACAATCACATTCATTTATGAATAATGGGGGAAAATGGGACCAGTTGTAAAGTGTTCTCATCTCCAAGCAAGAGAAACCCCATTTATCTCAGTGAGGACATACATGCCTCTCATTAATAACATGATCATTAATGTGTGATGTTTGTGGATGCAACATAAACATACATAGATGTGATGCTATGTATTTATAAAACATAATAGTTTAAGTGCTACAGAAAGCAAAGCTTAATCAATTAAGTACAGAGATAATTACAGCGGTAAGTTTTATTTTAGAAGAATGTATGCTATTATGGGAACATTTGCAACATTGGGACTGAGAAGACTGCATATTTGTGTGGTGTTATATATGATGCCAGAGACGTAAAACAGCTATTTAAAAGTGGATGCTTCTGGGCTAGGTGGAAAACCAGAATTTCCTCAGTTACAGAGACACAAAGAACTACTTACAAGTATGACATACACCCATGTACCAATTTTATGAAAAAGACTTTTTGCTATCAAGGAGTTAGCCAGATAATGTTAGGAATGCATCACACCATTGCAATTGTGCATTCATCACATTCATTATTGCAAATTACCTCATTGTGTACAATTTATCTGATAATAGATGTGTAAGTAAAGTAACGTCTGCTGAAGGATGTGGTTTTAATTACATCATGCCCACAGAAGCAACACTGAGCTCACAGGAATCACTGCAATCGTATGCAATGTTAGACTCACATGTCTTTAGGAATTACCAAGCAATTTTCAACAGTTTTCAAACAATAGACAGAAATTCTAGAATCCACAAAGGAGAGGCTGCTGTGCACCAAACAAATCACCAAGTAAACTACATTCCTACCACAGTCCAAAATGCAGTGGAATTGCCTCTCACAAGTAAAGTAACGTCTACTAAAGGATGTGGTTTTAATTACATCATGCCTACAGAAGCAACACTGAGCTCACAGGAATCACTGCAATTGTATGCAATGTTAGGCTCACATGTCTTTAGGAATTACCAAGCAATTTTCAACAGTTTTCAAACAATAGACAGAAATTCTAGATCCACCAAACAAATCACCAAGTAAACTACATTACTACCACAGTCCAAAATGCAGTGGAATTGCCTCTCAGAGTGATCTTCCTCAACTAGAAGAGTTTGGAACTTGGCTTTACATCCTAGAATCATCATTTTAATCATTATCCTTATTTTTCTTAGCTATAGAAATAAAATGTTAAGTATGCTATGGTTACTGATAACAATGAAGAAGTACATATTACTGTCAGACTGTACAAGTTATCTCAAGGTAAGATCAGACAGAAAAAACCAAATGTGTCTGAGATCTGCTGCCTCGTCCTGATCAGCATCCTCGAGATGGAGTAGGGTTGCAACATCCATTTTTGACTTGTAAAAAGTGTCTGTGAAGTGGACGAACAAATGGAAGGATCATAGCCCTGTAGCCCCATAAATATGATTTTGCCATTTCTAACATGTATGAACAAAGACATTGTATCAGGCAACTAGATCTCACATCCAAATCAAAGAGCTATTTATGTGTTTTTTTAATAAGTGCCAAATTCTGTAACACTGAATGATGTATATGAAATTAAGCTTTTTTAAAAAATACAGGATCTTGATTTTCTCTTGCGTAGAGCTGTGCTGTCTTCCCATATTGGACCTCCAGTGGTGGGGTTTACAGGCCTGTTTAAGTGCATAGCACCAATTATCACCATGTAACCTGAAATAAGTAGCAATGACAACTTTTTTGCCTGCTGTATGATCTAGTTGCCAGGCTGGTAAAAAAAAGCCTCATTTTACCTGTGTTTTACACAACTCTTAGAAACTATGAGATGCTTAAAATTATCAGGTTGCTTATTCTAATAAGTCTAAGAGGCAATGCATCAGCGTGCACAAAGACATAGGGATTTTATACCTTCATTTTTATACATTCATCGTAAGTCAGGTCAACAATTCCCCCGTTATTTTACATCAGATGTTCTGCCCAAGGTAAAGGTAAAGTGGTGTAAACCTTCCAAAACCCCTCAACAACCCCTTCCGGTTACACTTTACAATATCTTAGATACCCAGAAGGACTGCACTCTTCTTGCAAATCCACTTGTACAGGGAGTGGCAGTTCTCAGCATGCATTTCTGTCAGCTTATAGACGGCACATTTTTCTTCTTTCTTCCTTCCTTTTACGGTAAAACTGCAAGAGCCAAACAACACGCAGAGATGAAGATCATTGAAAAAGAATTGTTTGTATATACAAAGAAAGAAACCACAAAGACTGGACTTTTTTTTATGCTGTCGTTCTTCGTAAACAAAGGCATTGTATCAGGCAAGTAGATCTCACATCCAAATCAAAGAGGTATTTATGGTTTTTTTTTTTTAATATGTGCCAAAATCTGTAACACTGAATGATGTACATGAAATTAAGCTTTTTTAAAAAATACAGGATCTTGATTTTCTCTTGCGTAGAGCTGTGCTGTCTTCCCATATTGGACCTCCAGTGGTGGGGTTTACAGGCCTGTTTAAGTGCATAGCACCAATTATCACCATGTAACCTGAAATAAGTAGCAATGACAACTTTTTTGCCTGCTGTATGATCTAGTTGCCAGGCTGGTAAAAAAAGCCTCATTTTACCTGTGTTTTACACAACTCTTAGAAACTATGAGATGCTTAAAATTATCAGGTTGCTTATTCTAATAAGTCTAAGAGGCAATGCATCAGCGTGCACAAAGACATAGGGATTTTATACCTTCATTTTTATACATTCATCGTAAGTCAGGTCAACAATTCCCCCGTTATTTTACATCAGATGTTCTGCCCAAGGTAAAGGTAAAGTGGTGTAAACCTTCCAAAACCCCTCAACAACCCCTTCCGGTTACACTTTACAATATCTTAGATACCCAGAAGGACTGCACTCTTCTTGCAAATCCACTTGTACAGGGAGTGGCAGTTCTCAGCATGCATTTCTGTCAGCTTATAGACGGCACATTTTTCTTCTTTCTTCCTTCCTTTTACGGTAAAACTGCAAGAGCCAAACAACATGCAGAGATGAAGATCATTGAAAAAGAATTGTTTGTATATACAAAGAAAGAAACCACAAAGACTGGACTTTTTTTTATGCTGTCGTTCTTTTGATTCTCTGACATACAGACAGGTTTTATTCGTTTAGTGAGCATCACCCTTTCTCTGTTTCCCTAACTTGTTACGCAACTGGAAGTGAAAAGCTTGCACAGCATAACCACCTCCTAATTACGTCAGTTCCTCTCCTGAGAGCTGCCAAGAATTTCTTTTCAGCTGTGTGTTTTGATCAGAATTCTGTACTGAGAAAAATCAGAATAGGCTGAACTGTTGAACTGGAGTGCAGGCCCTCATATCTGACTGCTGCTTTCTCATGGTCTAATGGCTGAAGAGCCCAGGCACAGCAAGAGGGGAACACGTCATGGAAGCCAACACAGATTGACACTGGAATGAACCTACCTGTGCCCTGGATGTTTGGGATCACTGAGCCATACCCATCTTCTTTCCTCCTCATCAAAGCTTAATCCAGTCCAAACAAAGCCAATGTTTTTATCCTTCTGCTTGTTTAAGAAATCCTACAGAGAGATACGTCTTTGAACTCTCATAATAGTGACACTTCATACAACTCCAGCACCAGTAATGTATGGTGGTAATTACTATTTTAAAACCTTTCATGCCCAAAGATTCCAGACAATGTTATCAAGAAATTAAAAATAAAAAAATAAAAAACAACAAACCGCATGGCAATTAGTTCAGATTCTCAACTACACCCAGTTCTATAGCTAATGACAGTAAGTGGAGCAACCAAGGACGTAACCTTGGGCTCCTTGCTGGTGCCTGGCCCATTTCACTAGCACATTATAGATGAGGATCAGGCTGATCTGAATTACAGGACCTGAAGCTATTTCCTCTTTTTCCCCACTACAAGGAAGGGAGGGGAAGTACAGGGAAAAAAGTACAGGGGAACAGTTTCATCCCCCAAAGAAAAGCAAGAGCCTTTATGACAGCTTAGTTCTGAAGAAGTTTGTTGTCGAATAAAACATGCAAGAAGATTGTTTTGGAATAAAACATGCAAGATTTTTTTTTTTTTTCAGTGGTGCCCAGGGACAGGACAAGAGGAAATGGGCACAAACTTGAATATAAGAAGTTCCACCTCAACATGAGGAGGAACTTCTTTCCTGTGAGGGTGGCAGAGCCCTGGAAGAGGCTGTCCAGGGAGGTGGTGGAGTCTCCTTCTCTGGAGACATTCCAAACCCGCCTGGACACGTTCCTGTGTTTCTCAGCATGCATTTCTGTCAGCTTATAGACGGCACATTTTTCTTCTTTCTTCCTTCCTTTTACGGTAAAACTGCAAGAGCCAAACAACATGCAGAGATGAAGATCATTGAAAAAGAATTGTTTGTATATACAAAGAAAGAAACCACAAAGACTGGACTTTTTTTTATGCTGTCGTTCTTTTGATTCTCTGACATACAGACAGGTTTTATTCGTTTAGTGAGCATCACCCTTTCTCTGTTTCCCTAACTTGTTACGCAACTGGAAGTGAAAAGCTTGCACAGCATAACCACCTCCTAATTACGTCAGTTCCTCTCCTGAGAGCTGCCAAGAATTTCTTTTCAGCTGTGTGTTTTGATCAGAATTCTGTACTGAGAAAAATCAGAATAGGCTGAACTGTTGAACTGGAGTGCAGGCCCTCATATCTGACTGCTGCTTTCTCATGGTCTAATGGCTGAAGAGCCCAGGCACAGCAAGAGGGGAACACGTCATGGAAGCCAACACAGATTGACACTGGAATGAACCTACCTGTGCCCTGGATGTTTGGGATCACTGAGCCATACCCATCTTCTTTCCTCCTCATCAAAGCTTAATCCAGTCCAAACAAAGCCAATGTTTTTATCCTTCTGCTTGTTTAAGAAATCCTACAGAGAGATACGTCTTTGAACTCTCATAATAGTGACACTTCATACAACTCCAGCACCAGTAATGTATGGTGGTAATTACTATTTTAAAACCTTTCATGCCCAAAGATTCCAGACAATGTTATCAAGAAATTAAAAATAAAAAAATAAAAAACAACAAACCGCATGGCAATTAGTTCAGATTCTCAACTACACCCAGTTCTATAGCTAATGACAGTAAGTGGAGCAACCAAGGACGTAACCTTGGGCTCCTTGCTGGTGCCTGGCCCATTTCACTAGCACATTATAGATGAGGATCAGGCTGATCTGAATTACAGGACCTGAAGCTATTTCCTCTTTTTCCCCACTACAAGGAAGGGAGGGGAAGTACAGGGAAAAAAGTACAGGGGAACAGTTTCATCCCCCAAAGAAAAGCAAGAGCCTTTATGACAGCTTAGTTCTGAAGAAGTTTGTTGTCGAATAAAACATGCAAGAAGATTGTTTTGGAATAAAACATGCAAGATTTTTTTTTTTTTTCAGTGGTGCCCAGGGACAGGACAAGAGGAAATGGGCACAAACTTGAATATAAGAAGTTCCACCTCAACATGAGGAGGAACTTCTTTCCTGTGAGGGTGGCAGAGCCCTGGAAGAGGCTGTCCAGGGAGGTGGTGGAGTCTCCTTCTCTGGAGACATTCCAAACCCGCCTGGACACGTTCCTGTGTGACCTGCTCTGGGTGGACCTGCTTTGGCAGGGGGTTGGACTGGGTGATCTCCAGAGGTCCCTTCCAACCCCATGTGATTCTGTGATTCTGTAATCCTTTAGATACCAGTTGCTTCTTGCTGGGGATAATCTCTAGGCATATCATTGAATGTAGGCTATTGGTCTTCTGGTTAACACAAATGTTTCTTAACATGCAGAAGCCAACTATCAGAGCTCCTTCCACTGACAACGCCTGTTATGAGCGCATCTGTATTAGAAATGGCTTCTAAAAATACGTGGAAAGCTATACTTTGATATCTGAATTCACAAGGTACAAGTAAAAAGAATATTTAAACCACAGGGCATCTTACAATCTTACCATTTCAGTCTCATCCTCTATAACCAGGAGCTCAGATTTTTTTCCTGAGCAATATTTTCTACTATTGTCCCAGGTGTCACGAGTTTCTGAGTAGAAATAACATCTCCCATAATGAAGCTTCCAGCCAATAGGGCAGAGTTCACATCTGGGGTCTGTGAAGAGTTCGGAGTGAAAGGACTTTTGTCACTTTTTTTTTTACAACTGATATCATAATTATTGACTCCTTCTTTTTCCATGGCTTTTGAATAAGACAGCAAAGAAGCTTTAAACCAGGGGCAGGGAAGAAATTGTGATGGTATAACTTATTTTAAGAAAGCACATTGTCCCTGCTTTGCGTGGCAGTAGGGATAGTCACAGTGGTAATAAGGACAGTAATTCTTTGATTAGAGGTAACTCTGTGCCTTTAAATATTTCAGAACTCTAGATAATTGTATTAAATATTTTACATAATAGTTGGGGTAAAAGCCATAGGGTAAAATCCCAGCTCCACTGGGAGCAGTACAATTAAATGGCATCTATAGAGAAATAACCAAGACCTTCAGTAACACTTCTCCACTTCTATTTTTGACTTAAACTAAAATTTTCAAGGATGGAACTCCAAACTAGATCACTTTATACTTCTTCATCAATATATGCATGCGTATTCCAGAATCCAAAGGTCAATTCCTTTGTGGAGTTGTTTGGTTTTGTATTAATCTTTTCAAGAGCTTCAAACCATTTATGCTACAAGTGAGACTTTATTTCCTTACCATTTGTATGCACACATAAGCTTTCCTTCAATGTAGTCAGTAAGCTCTTTTCACGAAGATCTTCCTTTAAGATACTGTCACTTTCAGAAAGATTTCCTCTGGGCTTCCACATGCTACTTGATAGCAGGTCACCTAGACAAGAATCTCCAACATTTTAATGCAAAGCTCACAAGTGCACTGTATAGAAACCACGCAGTGTTTTTCAATAGATAATAATAGGAACTTTAAGTGGAAACTCATATTGCTCATTTGTCCTTCCAGCTCTCCTGTAAATGGTAGGTTGAGAGTTGAACATCCAAATCATATACATTAAACAAATGCATGAGGTGACCAGCTTCACAAAGACAGTGTAGGGTCCATTACCATCACGCTTTTGACAACATGGTATGCAACAGTTGTCGGAGAGCTGAACATCCAAATCATATACATGTTTAATGAGGTGACCGGCTTCGCAAACTGTAGGGTCCACTACCATCATGCTTTTGACAACATGGTATGCAACAGTTGTCTTTCAAATAGCATGGCTCTGCCTTTGATTTTCCAGGTCCTGAAATTTGTATTGAGCATATTTCAGGAAATAATGGGTTGATGTGAGAGGGCAGGAGTCACATCCAGAGGATGGGAGAATAGCTGACTCTGCAGGACACTCATGCCCAGAAGTACGGCTGAATTCTCATTCACTCCTGTGTTCTCAAGCGATTTGGATGTGTGAAGTGATTTTGATGTCCAGAAGCAGGTTGAACATTGGGACTACCAGGCCAAGATACTCTAAAGGAAGAGACTAAAATCAGACTCCTTGATCAATATTCACATGCTTGTTGATGGCAGCCTAAAAACTTGTTTGACTTGCTTTGCCAGGGCAATTGCAACCATTTCTCTCTGATCTCTGAGTTGAGGTGCTCAGGGATAATGGTACACATCTCTGCTGGATGGGTAAGCTCTGTGTGCACATGATCAATGCTGGCAGTGACCCAGTGCTTATGCACAAGTTCTGTGGGCAATGCAAAGGCCACTTTTATAAACTCAGAGGCACACATATCTTATTTCTGTTTTAGAGAGGTCTTTTCCAACACAGCGTACCATCTTCCAGCCTCCTGTCTCACCCATCCCTGAAGTCCAGCTCACATTCCTGTTGTACACACCAGGGAGGACTGGCTGAGACTTAAGGTAAGCAAACCAGGGCATCAGAAGGTGAAGATTAGATGTGAAGATGAGGGGAGGAAGACATAGCAGGGGTTCCAGTTGAACCTTATACCTGGAGTAAGTTTTGTTTCATTACTAAAAGTTTTTTTCAGACTGTTGGATGGATGGATGGATGGATGGATGGATGGATGGATGGATGGATGGATGGATAGATGGATGGATGGATGGATGGATTCTTTGGCTAGAAACCTTGGTGGTTTGTTCAGTTTTGGAAAGGAATAGGAGGGACTCTCAGATTGGGGGACTGGAAAGTGAGAAACACTCCAGCCCTCTTCATACACCCCAAACATGCAACAATGCTCTGAAAGCCACTGACCTTCTGTAGATCCACAGCCCCAAAATACTGGTGACTCCCTCCCACCTTCACCGGAAACACAATAGCATAAAGGCCTTATCAAAACAGTTTGTTTGCAAAACTTGTTTAAGTTAAGAACTTATACCTGTCAATTTCACAGGAATTAGAGCAAAACATTTCACTTGGTCACTCACATTGCTGAATTAATGCGATCACAGCTCCCAAAAATACAACGTTCAGAAATCCTGAGAGAGCAGCAAAGTACCGCAAGCCTGAAGAATTAGAGGAAAGTTCTGCAAGAAATAAGAAGGGTTTATAAAAACAGTGTTAATTGCTACCCAGGACATAAATCTGGGTTTCTCTAGGTATCTTTCAGACAGAACGTCCATCACTGTCACTTTGCTGCATGCTTTGTCACAGTTGCTTTTTCCCTTCTTGTTGCCTCCTGCATATCAAGCAGTTCTTGCTTCTAATAAGCTTTCACTTATGAAAACTTGTTGGGGCTTGACTTTTTCTCATACTATCTTCACTGATTGCCAGTTCATTTGGGGTTTTGTGTGGCTACTGAACACTTTCTGCTTCTTCATAGCAGGGAGGTGTTAATTGCAGGTATCATGATGACTGTTAGATGTCACAGCAAGCATTTAACAAACATTGCTAAAGAAAACCTCAACAATTTTGTGACAAATGAAGAATTGAAGTTTCTTACCATTGCAGAGAAAAAGATGTATATAACATGTAAGAACAAAAATGAAGTTCTAGGGCTATGCATACCAACTCTATCAACCAAGAAAGGACCAGTAGATTCTATGAAAATTAAGCTCTGTAACTCTAGGACCCACTAATTAGTTTTATCACCTGTACACTGGATGCCTTAGAAAAGTCCACATTATAATTTGGATATGTTTTTTTTTTTTTTTTTAATGGAGTGGCTGATGTTGAGCCAATCCCACCTAGAAAATTACTACAAAATGTTTGAGAAATTATGTAGCAGGGCTTCTTTGCAGGCTGGATGCTCGATTAAAGTCAGTGAATAGAGAAGCAAAAATGATTTCCCTTGCAACTCAAAGAAAATTACTTTTAAATAAGATCAGAAAAAACAGGAAATGCACAATCATGATGAATATTCTTTCTCAATATTACCCAACAATCTTAAAATTTATTCTTATAGGACTGTTACACCAGTTCCTAGTCAAACCCAGTGCTTCTGTTTGCTCACTCATTTTACTTATAGATTTCTACATATCTTGACATAGAATCACAGAGCTATGTAAGGAGGCCATCTAGTCCGGAGTCCTGGTTAAGGTGGGTCAGGTTACAACTGGTTTCTCAAGGCTTTGTCCAGTCAATTTCTAAATTTCTCCAAGGATGGAGATTCCACAACCTTTCCAGGCTCCTGCTCTAGTGTTTGACCACTGCCATGGTAAGAAAAAAATTTTTTGCATGAAATTGCAATTTTCCATTTTTCAACTTGTGTCTTTCAGTGTGCACCTTCAAGAAGAGTTTGGTTCCATCTTCTCTACACACTTCCATTCAGTAGTTAAAGAGAAAGGTAAAACTCCCTTCAGCTTTCTCTTCTTAGGGCTGCACAAAGTCAATTGACTCAGCCTCTCCTCCTGTGTCACTTCTCACTGTCTCAGGAGCCCTTTGCTGGACTCATTCCACCAGGTTGTCAGCATGCTCTTGGAAGGGCTAGCTAGTTAATGTAAGCTACAATACTGCAAAGCTCTTTAAAATAACTGAGGCATAAAAAGTGTTCTATGATACCTCAAAGGATTCCTTGCAACAGGAAGAAGAACAGTTAGAAGATGCCTGGCTATGCAGGAAATGTCATGTAATTTTTTCTTCCTAACTTTCTAATATTAGTGTTTTCAGGAAGTACTTTGTGTGTGTTCTTCTAGAAAGACCGAGCCATAACACACTGTTCTTTTTGGCCAAACTTAGCTTCATGGGAAAAAAAGATTTTACATGTGAACCTTCCATGAGTTAGGACCCAGGAATAAAGTCAGAGAATAACAGAATTTCCATTTCATGGAAATAGCCATTCGTGGAACAGAAAACAGGGTGCCAAAATGTTATACCTTGTAGAGAACTTGTTCTCTAACTTTTAAATAAGATCAGGAAGTATAATTTAAAAGCCATTACATTTCAAATGCTGGTGGTCCAGATCAGATGCGAATCAGCTGTTTGAAAAGTTCTTTGCTTCTGCACTGCTATTTCAAAAATGTCATGCACAGAGCTGTATTTCAAATCATGATATAACCTGAACTTTGTGCTACATGATAGTCTCATTCCCTAACACTTTCACTAAATGTCTAGCTATCATTTTGCTTGTCATGGAGGTCAAACGTCTTTTCCCCTCAGCTATTGTGTCAAAGTATGATTGTGTTTCATCATACTTACTTGGAAACACTGTATCTGGGACTAATCATCTTTAAATGTTCAAACAGCTAATCCCCGCTGGTTTTATATTGCCAGGGTATCTAGATGGCAGATACATGGAAACAGAACGCAGTACTTTTCGCTAGCGAGGCAACATATTATGGTTAAGCACCTGTGTACATTTTCCTTCTTCCTTTCGGTGCTATGCAGTGATTTTTGACAGGCTATCTGGGGTCTGATCCTAACTGTGCCATGATTTGCACAGTGGCTAGGCTGCAGGTGATTTGTGTGAGTACTCAGCTCAGTGCCCAGCTGCCCAGGGCGAGCTCTGTTGGCACCAACACGTCAGGGCTGAGAAAGCAGCAGGGGCTCTCAGCTCGGAGGCTGCCCAGCTTCTCACATCACCTCTGTAGCTGGCACCACCAGCCAAGGCCGGATGGCTCTGCGAGGAGGAAGGGCAGCGCTGCATTGTGGTCTTCCTCCTGTGATACGTGAACTGGCACAGATACGGCAGCAGAGCACACCACTGAGGCACTGCGACCATTTCTAACCACTCCAGTGAATACACTTCTGTATTCCCTATGCTAAGTCTGTGTCTGGTCTAAAGTGAGCTCACACAGCTCTCACTAGAAGTAGAGACTCAGCTTGCAGTGCCCTGTTTAACAAGTCAAATGAAAGCACTGCTCTCTTTACAGAATCACAGAATGATACGGGGTTGGAAGGGACCTCTGGAGATCATCTAGTCCACCCCCCCTGCCAAAGCAGGTCCACCCAGAGCAGGTTGCACAGGAACGTGTCCAGGTGGCTTTGAATGTCTCCAGAGAAGGAGACTCCACCACCTCCCTGGGCAGCCTCTTCCAGGGCTCTGCCACCCTCACAGGAAAGAAGTTCCTCCTCATGTTTAGGTGGAACTTCTTATATTCAAGTTTGTGACCAATTAGCTGCTTACTCGAAACCTTCCTGCTGCCCTGTCGTGCCGTGCTGCCCCGTCGTGCAGGTAGACAATGAAGATGGAGCATTTTGAACCTGGTTTTGTCACTCTGTGCTCTGCGTGTTCGTGGTCGCGTCCTGATCTGTGTATGTGCCCGGCATGCTTTGTCTGACTTTCTGCTTCTTTTAAATGGAAACTTTCATACTACTCCGTTACAGCAATATTTTTGTGCACTCTGACAAAAGACCATTAAACATTCTTAATTAAATAAATAATAGCTTGTATGATCAATTTTCTGATTTTTTTTTTTTCCTCAATTTTGCTGGTTCTGTGCTTTTACTGCAGTTGGGAATGGGCTTTCAGCTAATTTGTTGTCATAATAGACAAACAGGCACAATTTACATCAATAAAATTGCACAAAATTTATCCCGCCATAATGAGTAAGCAAAGTTGCTCTTTCTTTTTTTCTGTTAAAAATTGTTCCTACATAAACGTGCAGCCAGATTTTCTCAGGAACTGATCATCACAGCTAATTAACTGTTTGGAAACTGGATGTCTAATTGCTCTGAGGACTGGGTATTTATGATCTGAGAAGCTCTTCCCTGGGACACTTAAAAGAAATAAAGGTTAGCAAGGGTGAACTTGAAAACCTTCCAGCCTATATCTTTGTACTTTCTTCCTTGCTGCTTCTGACACTTTTGACAAAATCCCCAGAAGTTGTTGAAAAAGCTTACTGGACAGTAAGTTACTGTCTCATCATTTGCATTTAAATTATTCTTAAATTCTTTTTAGCTGTGATTCCTGAAAGCAAAACAAACTGAACCAAAAAAAACCCACCCAAACAAACAAAAAAACCCAACCAAAAACCCTGTAGAAAACTTAAAATAGCTCATGAGCCATTAACCACTGCCAAACGTACTGAAAACTAATGTTTTCCTCATATGTTTCTATAGCTGAGTCTCCATTTTGTACTGCGACTGTCAGCACAGGGACTCCAAGCGTGGTGGTACCATCAGTACTGCATTTTATCATCCTATTTCTCTGCATACTGCCATATCTCTTTGGCAAATTTACTAATACCAATTAAAATCGTGGCAGATTTGTGGGGTTTTTTTATGAGAACTCAAATATAGCTAGAGAGATTTGTTAATTACAGAACAAATCTGAAGGCATAGCACAAATGCTTACATGCTCACCTGCGTTAGAGCTCCTCTTCCTCGTTTTGAAACGAAGCGATGTGTAACCCTCTTCATTCTCCATCTCAAGGTCTTTTTATCAGTTCTTCCTACTGAAGACTGTTCAACTGTTAGTGTCAAACCAGGCTACGGGCAATGCTTCAAGCGAGTGCGATAAACAGGAAGGGCTTTTGACAGGGTATCTGGGCAGGGGATGGCCATACGTGCTTTTAGCTGAAGCCATGCAGCAGCAAGACGATGAAAAGGAACAACAAACGAGTAAACTCTTTTTCATTTCCTCCATCTTTCTCTGACAAGCTCCAGACCTTTCTAACAGACTCCTCTAACACTGCATTTTCTCCAGTGAAATATCACAGTCCTCAAATGCAGTCTTTCAATCCACACACACTCCTGCACAGAGAATAGATTTGAGCCCCCCAAGGACTGGATTGAGGGACTTTTTTCATTTACTTTACATTAAAATCAGCTGTGTAATCTTTTTTTTTTTTTTCCCAAGTGCTGGGAATTTCTTCTTGCTTTACCAAAGGAAGATTGTGTGCATACGTGTCATTAAATAGCTGGAAAGGGCATTTAAATACATGTATTTATCTTTGGTTCTGCTTTGTGCCTGTCCACTTGAGCAACCGTTCATAGATTTGAACAACTTAATGCCTTTCTTTAAACAGAGAATTGTGTGACATGGAACAACTGAATCAGATCCCTTCAAACCTTACAGGTTGCAACATTTCTGTTGCACTTCAAAAAGGACAAGCCTGAGCTTTTTGTATCAGCAAAGAGTCGTTTACTTTTAAATTACTATGCAAGGTCTTTTCCAAACAATGTAAGTTGGGGATTCTAGCAAGTTCTTGGTGATCTTTTAAGTGCTAGTCAGGAATATTTCTTTATGGAAATTGAGGATTCAGTAGAAAGTTACAAGTTGTTTTCTCTGAAATGGTTATAATGATTTCTGGCAGCTGTCAAATCCAGCAGGTTTCATCAAGGTTTTCTTTGGGCCAGGACTACATCCTGACTTCGCCTTTAGTGTGTCCCTATAGTGCCTAGTGGTGATTCAGCACAGGAGACATAGACCATCACGTCATTATCTTTAGTATGCAATTAAATGCTTAGTGTCCTAAACACTTATCTCAGTTTGGAGGAATATAAATGCATCCAGAGGGATAGACAGAAATTATTCAAGGTCAACCTACCACTCTATATTATTTTCTGTACGATTTTTCTTTCTTCTTTTTCTCTTGTGTGATTTGCTAAGCTGTGTAAAGCTGTAGTAAATCAAAGGCAGTGGATCCTGTTGTTGCCTTAGGAAGCTCTCAGAAAAATTAGCAAAAGGCCATCCATGGGAATAATGACAGAAATTAATTTCTAGGTGGATTATCCTCCTGCATAAGAACAAATCAGTTTTTAAAAATCATGTATCTAGTAAATAAACTGAATATTATAGTCTTTCACTTGTACTAAATCCCCTTCACACTTTTAAATTAGTTTTTAAAAGTTTGGAGTAGAAGTGAAAATATATTCATACATCTACTTTTAAAGATTCCCAAGGAAAGGAAAAACACTCTTTCAAGCTACAAGCTAAAAACAATAATTCCCCACCCGACCCCCCAAATAAAAGGAAAAACACTCTTTAAAGCTACAAGCTCAAACAATAATTCCCCACCCGACCCCCCAAATTTACCAAGCAATTGATGCAGTACACATCCAATAACTGATACAGCCGATTAACATGCATAGTAAATTCTATGTGGTGGCAAAATGTTAATCTTTGAGCAACCTTTCTTGTTACAGTATTTTCAGGGATCTGGGGTTTTTACATCATTCTACCAAGGATGCCATTGCTATTAATTTTGTGTACGTTGTCTGGGAACAGTGAGTATCATGATGGTGATCTTACCATGTCAAAGCCTATTTAGCTACTTCTACAAAAAGATTTGCCAAAGAGATGGCTACAAAAGGAAAATGGAGGAGCATGGAGGACACAAGAAGGGTAAACGGATAGTCCCGTACACTATGGATAGTTATCTCATAGCACAGAGATGCCAAATGGCTACGGTCAGGTGCTATTCATTCAAGACTTCTAAAGGAACTCAGCAAACAAACAGCCAATCTGCTAGGAGTGGTATGCAACGTGCTTAGGAAGTTCTTGGTGTCAGAATGCGAGTCTACTTCTCAAGGGTCTCAACGTAGACCTGGAATATTTCCAATCGGTAAACCTGATCTTTATACTGGAAAAAAAAAATGACCCAAACCCCCAAATTCAAGTAAGGAACAGAATTGTCATCACGTGACTAAGTATTTCACTAGTGAAAGGTATTTAGAGGGAAATCATGTCTCTCATATCCAAGGGAATTTCTTGGAGAAGAATTCCAAACTCCAAAAATTCAATTATTTTCTCTCTAGAAAGGAAAATCTCCATAGCATGAGATTTTAGTGGTGATCAGTTTTGACTTGAAAAGACATGACTTCTTCCAATAATCTAAAATAGCTTTCACTATAACAATGGACATTGTACCAACTTTCAGGTTTTTGTCTCATTTTCTGCATTTGTAAAAGGCTCCAATGTCTTCTAAAATGAAATGAATACTACACCCATAGTAGTATTCTCATCTCCATCTGAAAAACAATGAAACAATGTCCCAGTTCAGACTTTTGGAGTCACAATCATTGGTCTTTTTTTTTTTGGTCACTTTTCTTTTTGTGCATGCACTCCAAGGTACTGGCTTCTGTAAGGTGTTCTTGAGTCCACAACTCTTAATACAGGATATTTTTTTTCATAATGAAAGCACACAATTTTTAAACATCATCCATTATGTGCTTTTCCTTAGCCCACTATGCCTTCAAAAGGAGAATGTGATTTTAAAATCCCTTCTCTTTTTGAGGGAAATGACATATGAAAACTTAATTGAATACTCTCTGTCAGGCCAGGGTGTTAATTTAAGCCTTCTTTCCAAATAAAAGGTTGATTAAATCAGTTTGCATGACACTACAGCTGTATAATATATATATTATGTTAATTATATTAATTACATTAATGGTATTGATATTAATTGGGCTGTCCTATTAGCAAATACTGTAGCAGTCTTCCAAGACTTCATGGCTTCTTGTCTGCCTTCTTAGCCCTTTCTTGTTCCATTTATCACATGGTTTATGTATTTTTAATAAAGAAAAAAGGTATGTGTAAATCATGTAGTTAATTGCTAGAGCTAACTGATTTTATTTTTTTTTTGCTCAAATTATCCATGGACTTCCAGAAAGAGGAATGGCAGGCTGCAGTCAGAGGGATTACTCTGAAACTGAGACAACCGACAGCCAAGAAGAACAGGGACATGAGTTGCCTAGATGGCAGCTCCCAGAGAGTGTCACAGAATCACAGAATGACAGAATGATGGGGGTTGGAAGGGACTTTCAGAGGTCATCTAATCCAACCCCCTGCCAAAGCAGGTTCACCTAGAGCAGGTTGGACAGGAATGCATCCAGGCAGATTTTTTATATCTCCAGAGAAGGAGACTCCACCACCTCTCTGGACAGCCTGTTCCAGGGCTCTGTCGCCCTCAAAGTGAAGTTTTTCCTCATGTTCAGATGGAATTTCCTGTGTTCCAGTTTGTGCCCATTGCTCCTTCTCCTGTTGCTGGGTGTCACTGAGAAGACTCCAGCCCATTCCTCTTGACACCTGCCCTTTAGATATTTATAAACAACGATAAAATCCCCTCTCAGTCTTCTCCAGGCTAAACAGACCCAGGTGTCTCAGCCCTTCCAGGGAGACAAGCAGATGCACATACAATCATAGAATCACAGAATAGTTTGGGCTGGAAGGGAACTTAACAGGTCATCTAGTCCAGCCTCCCCTGCAATGAGCAGGGACATCTCTAACTAGACCAGGTTGCTCAGAGCCCTGTCCAGCCTAGTCTTGGATGCTTCCAGGAATGGAGTATCTACCACTGAATTTCACTGAATTTCACTGAATTTTTAGAGTTGGAAGGGACCATAGAGATCATCTAGTCCAACTCCCCTGCTGAAGCAGGATTGCCTAGAGCTAGAGCATGTTACTCAGGACTGCATCCAGGCGGGTTTTGAAAATCTCCAAAGAAGGGGACTCCACAACCTCCCTGGGCAGCCTGTTCCAGGGTTCCGTCACCCTCACCGTGAAGAAGTTTCTCCTCATATTTGAGTGGAACCTCTTATGTTCCAACTTGTGCCCGTTGCCCCTCGTCCTCTCACTGGGAACCACTGAAAAGAGTCTGGCTCCCTCCTCCTTCAACCCTCCCTTGAGATACTTGTAGGCGTTGATAAGGTCTCCCCTCAGCCTTCTCTTCTCCAGACTAAAGAGTCCCAGCTCTCTCAGTCTCTCCTCATAAGGGAGATGCTCCAATCCTTGAATCATCTTTGTAGCCCTATGCTGGACTCTTTCTAGTAGTTCCCTGTCCCTCTTGAACTGGGGAGCCCAGAACTGGACGCAGTATTCCAGTTGTGGCCTCACCAGTGCAGAGCAGAGGGGGAGAATGACTTCCCTTGACCTGCTGGCTACACTCTTCCCTATGCAACCCAAGATACCATTGGCCCTCCTGGCCGCAAGAGCACACTGTTTACTCATTGTCATTTTACTGTCCACCAGGACCCCTAGATCTTTCTCTTCAGTAGTTGCCTCTAGCAGGTCCACCCCTAACCTCTCTGAGCAACCTGTTCCAATGTCTCACCATCCTCAGAGTGAAAAATTTCCTCCTTCTATCTAGTCTAAATCTCCCCCTTTTAGTTTAAATACATTACCCCTCATACTGTCACAACCAGCCCCCATCCTGTAGGCCCCCTTTAACTATGGGAAGGCCGCTATAAGTCTCCCTGGACCCTTCTCTTCTCCAGGCTGAACAACCCCAGCTCTCTCAGCCTGTCCTTGTAGGAGAGGTGCTCCAGCCCTCTGATCATCTTCTTGGCCCTCCTCTGGGCTCACTCCAACAAGTCCATGTCCTTCTTATGTTGAGAGCCCCAGAGCTGGACAGAGGATTCCTGGTGGAGTCCTCATGAGAGCAGAGAGGCAGAATCACCTCCCTCAACCATGCTTCTCTTCATTCAGCATAGGATACGGTTGGCTTTCTGGGCCCCGAGCACACATTGTCAGCTCATGTCGAGCTTCTCACCCACTAAGCTTCACATAGGAATTCACAAATCCTCTGCTGAGATTTACAGTCATTTTCCATTATAAATGTAAATGATATGTTTGTTCATGGGCTTATATTGTTTGCATTTGGTCTCTGAAATTCAGCAATTATATTAAGAAATACCTGAGGGTGGAAAATAAGTGCTTCTAGATCTGACCAATCTGACTTAAGGAAAATGAAAAGGACATTTAAAATAAGAATTCACATTTTGGCTTCACAGCACCACTGTCAGCATGCATAAGCTGTCAGTTATAGAATCATAGAATCATCTAGGTTGGAAGGGACCTTAAAGATCATCTAGCCCAACCATCAACATAACTCTGACAAAAAAATAAATAAGAAATAGGAAATAAAAATTACCAAACCATATTCCTGAGGACCATGTCTACCCGTCTTTTGAACACCTCCACGGATGGTGCCTCAACCACTTCCCTGGGCAGACTATTCCAATGCTGGATAACCCTTTCTGTGAAGAAATTTTTCCTAATATCCAATCTAAACCTCCCCTGGCGCAACTTGAGGCCATTTCCCCTTGTCCTATCTCCTGTGACTTGGGAGACAAGACCAACCCCTGCCTCTCCACACACCCCCGTTCAGGTAGTTATAGAGCGCGATAAGGTCTCCCCTCAGCCTCCTCTTCTTCAGACTGAACACCCCCAGCTCCCTCAGCCTCTCCTCATAAGACTTACTCTCCAGACCCCTCACCAGCTTCGTTGCCCTTCTCTGGACCCGCTCCAGCACCTCAATGTCTTTTTTGTGGTGAGGGGCCCAAAACTGGGCACAGTACTGGAGGTGAGTCACAGAATCATACAATGGTTTGGGTTGGAAGGGACCTTAAAGACCATTGGGTCCCAACCTCCCTGCCACGGGCAGGAACACCTCCCACTACAACAGGTTGCTAAAGCTCCAAAGCCCCAAGAAGCAGGAAACTACCTAGAGATTTTATGACAGAGATCAAAGGGCAGTAAAGATGCTTTAATAGAATGCAGATCCTCTCGTACAGTCAGAAAAAAACCGAACAAACAAATTTTGCAAACCTTTTACATTAGTAGCTCCTGGAACCGCTCTTGCTGGGTTACGAATGCTTTTCTGGCCTTGTGTTCACAGGTTCAAAACCATTCTTATCTGCTAGTGCTACGATCACATGCAGATCTCATCAAGTCAAAAGAAGCCAGAGCATGATGCCCTCATTTTCCACAAATCCCTTACTCTGCCTTTGGATTGTTTCTGTTGATTTCCGTCTTAATTTTGCCTTCTGCAAAGCAGCCTGGAGCTTCTTAAGCGACTCCTTGTAAAGCTGTTTCTTCCTGCGAAATAGCTCCACAATTACTAGCCTTGATCTTACTGGTGGATGATTGTAAGAAAAAAAAAGTGCGAACAGTGTCTCAGGAAGCTTTTAGATGACCTGGATTTGAGCTACCAGCAATTACCACTGTGGTTTCAGCAACCTTTAAGTCTATGAGTAATATGAAAATGGTTGCTGCAGGAAGTGGAGGTAGTGTCTACACACGGGCAGTTTCCGTTCCCTGCCCTGCCAGTGCTGAGATGAACACTGCCTGTCACATCCACCGCATTCCAGCTGTATCAAGGCTGGCTGACAGATGCATTGGCACAAAGTCGGAAATGAAACCTTGGAAGTTGCAGTTAGAAATGTCTACGGTCTTGATAAACCACCCATCTCTTCTCTATGCTGCGGCTTTCCGTCTGCAGCACCCACCATAGAATCATAGAATCGTAAAATGGTTAGAGTTGGAAGGGCCCTTAAAGATCATCCAGTCCCAACCCCCCTGCCATGGGCAGGGACACCTCCCCCCAGACCAGGTTGCTCAAAGCCCCATCCAGCCTGGCCTTGAACCCCTCCAGGGATGGGGCAGCCACAGCTTCTCTGGGCAACGTGTTCCAGTGTCTCACCACCCTCACAGCAAAGAATTTCTTTCTGGTATCTAATCTAAATCTCCCCTCTTCCATTTAAAACCGTTACCCCTTGTCCTGTCACTACCCTTCCTGACAGAGTCCCTCCCCAGCTCTCCTGTAGCTCCCTGCAGATATTAGGAGGCTGCTCTGAGGTCTCCCTGGAGCCTTCTCTTCTCCAGGCTGAACAACGCCAGCTCTCTCAGCCTGTCCTCATAGCAGAGGTGCTCCAGCCCTCTGATCATCAACATCACAGTCAGAGCAAGTTCTTTAACCTGAAATTCATTTCCAGTGAGTGGTGTCTCTTTTACAGCAGGAATCCCTACAAAGGGGATGGGAAATTGGAGAATCAGACCCCCGGCATGGTTCTCCCACATGTGATTGTTCCTGCACTAAATGTTATGCCCCCTACCAGGGGGACTATCAGCAGTCCCTCCAGGGACTACCCCAGGTTACTGGGGTCAACAAGAATGAAAGGTCTCTGTGGTGGAAATAACCCTCAGCCCTGACACAGGGGGGAAAAGCTCCCCCAGATGCTTCTGTCAGAGCCCCACCTCAGCAGCCAGCACACCGTTGTGTAGTTCAAGGAGACAGCCTTGCTGCCCGGCTGCTGTGGTGCCATGCATGAGGCAGTTCCTACTGCACCACCTCTTTTTTTCTCTTCTCTGAACAACGGAGGCTGAGTCCTGGAGACCTGCCTTGTCCTGAGGGCTGTGATGTTCACCTTGGGCAAGTTTAAGAACATCAAACCTCAGAAGTTGTGCGCAGCTTTGCTGGCTGCTACAGTCACTGCAGTTTCTGAACCCTAAAATCTCTAGGTCTGATGGGTCCCTATAACCTCACTTCCTAGAAAGTTTTCAGTTAGGGCTACTGGAAACAGAATTATTGCCTGTGACATAAGCAGTTGCCAGATAAACTAAACGTAGTAGTTACTATCAGGTTTTCAGTGAGACAGGAGAACTTCTCAGAACTTAATTTTATCTCACTGAACATTAGAAGTACCAGTAAAAGTAGGCATGTGACCTAAGTCTTATGCCTAGGTTTCCTCTTGTTATGGTTTGAGAAAACCCAAAACAATCTATTGTCATTTAGACAAGTATTCTATCACCCAATGATCCCTCCCCACCCGGAAAGGGGAATTGGGGAACACAAGAAAACACAAGGGTTGAAATAGAAATAAATAGAAATAGAAATAAATAGAAATAGAAATAAATGTACTAGACTAAGACTAAATAACTAACAATAATGCTAAAGAACCAGTGTTAATCCCGATACTGATATAAGACATACGAGAATTATACCCAGCCAGTTATATCAGTAGAAGCTGTGCACTCCCAGCAGGGACAGCAAATGGCGGACACTGCCAGCGCAATGGCTTCAGGAGGAAGGCAAGGCCTCAGGGCTCCGACACCGGGGCAAGGAGGTGTCTGGACTCGCCACCATCAAGGGAGAGAGAGCTACGCAGCAAACTTTTCTAATTCATGTTGAATGTGACGTTCATGGTATGAAATAATCCTGTTGGCCAGCCTGGGTCAAATGCCCAGGCCTTGCTCCTCCTTGTCCCTGCACCTGGCAAGGCTCAAAAACACTAAGACCTTGAATCCCACAGAGCCTGGCTGGCTATAAAGTAAATATTTTCACATATTCAGGCACTAGAGTCTTCTAAAAGTGCAATTTTCACCGGCATTAGAAGAAAAGTTAGTCCTGTGTCTCTCAACCCAGGACACCTCTCTATGCAGGCATGGGGGGTGTCTGTTCCTTCTTTGAACAAGCTAAAATCGTAGCATGAACAAACTCAGTAAATATTAATATGAAAGCCCACAGGAAAACTTCTCTCCGATTTAGGCTTCCACATGGTCTGAGATAGTGTGGCTGTAGCAGGCCTGCCATCTATCCAAACTGTCTGTATAATGTGTATGTCTTAACTGTCAGTATCAAATGAAAACCTAAGTCACTCATTTAGAAAACTGGAAACAGATCCAGTGCCTGGGCAAAGAGCAGGCTGATGTAGAAATGATGAAGGCATCCAAGTAGGCACACTCAGAGTGATTCCGCATCTGGAACCTAAAAAAAAACGTAAGAAAACAGTGATTACTAAATAATTTCTACTACTGAGCTACATATTTTGCCTGCTGTAAAACTAAACCTCTGCTGAAGTAGTTTCAAGTTGACTTTGGTCCCTTCTCATGCAGTAGTTTCAACTATTTTAGCCTGCTGTAAAACTAAATGTCTCCTGAAGTAGTTTCAAGTTTACTTTGGTCCCTTCTCATGCAGTAGTTTCAACTGCTGAAAGCAAGGTCAGTGATAAATCACATTAGAAAAGCCTGTTAGCAACATTGCACAGCTCGTGTCAGAAAAAGTGAGGCCAGCAGGACTAGGGAAGTGACCATCCCCCGCTGAAAGCAAGATCAGTGATAAATCACACTAGAAAAGCCTGTTAGCAACGTTGCACAGCTTGTGTCAGAAAAAGTGTGGCCAGCAGGACTAGGGAAGTGACCATCCCCCTCTGCTCAGCACTGGGGAGCCCCACCTCGAATATTCTGTTCAGTTTTGGGCCCCTTGCTACAAGAAAGACATTGAGGTGCTGGAGACAGTCCAGAGAAGGGCAATGGGGCTGGTGAGGAGTCTAGAGCGGCTGAAGAAACCCTAATCCTAACAAATCCTAACCCTAAGAGCGGCTGAGGAAACCCTAATCCTAACAAATCCTAACCCTAATTGCCCTAAACCTAATGACCCTATCCCTTACCTTAACCCTAACCCACACCCTAACCCTAAGTGGATGTTTAGCCTGGAGAACAGGGGGCTGAAGGGAGACCTTATCTCTCTCCACAACTACCTGGAAGGAGGTTGTAGCGAGGCAAGGGTTGGTTTCCCAAATAATAGGACAAGAGGAAAAAGTCTCAAGTTGCACCAGGGGAGGTTTACATTGGACATTAGGAAAAAATTCTCCACATGAAAGGTTATCAAGCATTGGAACAGGCTGCCCAGGGAAGTGGCTGAGTCACCATGCCTGGAGGTATTTAAAGGATGTGTAGATAGAGTGCTGAGGGATGTGGTAACTTGGCTAGGTTAACAGTATTTGACCATCTTAAAGCTCTCTTCCAACCAAAACAATTCTATGATTCTATGACTATCTGTTTCTATGAAGGGTCCATACCAAGTATCATACAATAACAGAAGTAGAGAAAAGAAACTGCTTATGATATATCCTGCCTAGAATTACTGAGGCCATAAATGCTCTGGAGAGTAAGACAAAGGGAATATGATATATCCTAGAATTACTGAGGTTATAAATGCTCTGGAGAGTAAGACAAAGGGAACTGCTGTTTGATGGGCCTGATGCAGAACTGCTGTAGCCCACACATAAATAGGGGGAAAATCTGGGTTGTCTGCAGGTTGTGACAAACTCCCTGAAGCAGATATGATTTTTCTTATGAAGCTCCTTAATCCATCTCAAGATGATTATTCCCTCATACCTGTCACTTCATTATCTTTCATTCCTAAAAAACGTATGACTATCTGCCAGATATTGGGTATTTCAGGAATATGAGCACATAGGATCACAATGGAAATTAATATGAAAAGAGACTGAATTGTCTATACTATGTAGTATATATGTCTATACTATGTATAAATTAAGGTAAATGTATGACTATCTGCCAGATTCATTCAGGAAAATGAGCACATAGGATCACAATGGAAATTAATATGAAAAGAGACTGAATTGTCTATACTATGTAGTATATATGTCTATACTATGTATAAATTAAGGTAAATAGGGATGACCAATAACATTGAGAGCAGCCTCAAGGAGAAGGGCTTGGGGGTGTTGGTGGATAAGAAGGTTGATGTGAGCAGGCAACGTACACTGGCAGCCCAGAAGGTCAACCCCATCCTGGGCTGCATCAAGAGAAGTGTGGCCAGCAGGTCCAAGGAGGTGATTCTGCCCCTCTACTCTGTGCTGGTGAGACCCCACCTGGAACACTGTGTCCAGCTCTGGAGTCCTCAACACAGACAGGACATGCAGGGAGTCCAGAGGAGGGCCACAAAGACGATCCCTATTGCGGGGAGTCCAGAGGAGGGCCACAAAGACGATCAGAGGGGTAGAGCACCATTCCTATGAGGACAGATCAAGAGTTGGGGTTGTTTAGCCTGGAGAAAAGAAGGCTCCAAGGAGACTTTTTTTTCAGCCTTCCCATGTCTGAAGGGAGTCTCCAGGAGAGATGGGGAGGTAGTCTTTATCAGGGAATGGGGTGATAAGATGACGGATAATGTTTTTAAACTGAAGGAGGGGAGATTTAGATGAGATATTAGGAAGAAAGTCTTTCCTGTGAGGGTGGTGAGGCACTGGAACAGGTTGCCTAGGGGAGCTGTTGATGCCCCATCCCTGGAGGGGTTCAAGGCCAGGCTGGATGGGGTTTTGAGCAACCTGGTCTCATGGGAGGTGTCCCTTGGTTCGACTTGGATGATCTTTACGATCCCTTCCAACCTGAACCACTCTATGATTCCATGATTCTACGATTTTATGATTATCTTCATGTGTTGAGGTAGCAAAAAAGCCCTTCTTGAACCAGGGACTTCTCTACCTAGATGCTATTGGAATTAGATCAGTTATAACTGCAAAGAGTTCATTTTCAAAGTCATAATTATAACTCACAGAAAAAAAAAAAGAATCCTGATATCAATAACATTGTGCTGTAAACCCTAATTGTACATTTCTTTAAGTACACGTTCGGCAATCACAAGGCACTTACGAGTCCACCTTGAAGGCAACACCATTCTCCCAGAAGAAGCTTTCACCTTTCTTGCGCAATCCAATCCAGAAGTCATCTATTTTCAAATGCTTAGCTAAAGAATGCTAAAAAAAAAAAGGCATTTTTTTTAACATGAGCTCTCAAAATGATAAGCAAATTCCTCCTGTGAATTTGGAGGAGTACTAGCTCATCATTCTGTCATCTAGAACACTTTCATAAACATTTCATTGGCAGATGAAGAGCCTAATTCTGTCTTTGAATTGTCTCTTACAGTATCATAAATTTCAGTTAAATTTTTCAATTCACTTGAAAATTATTACTGTTCCCTACACACAAAAATACCAAAACACCATGTATTGGTTGTGTCTGTCTATATATGTTTATCACTCCCTACATATGCAGCTTGGTCTAACTAGGCTGGTACATACAGGTGTTTCCTGCATTTCAGATTGGCATATGGGAACTCCTCCCCTTCCCAATGATTATTTAAGTAATTTAAAGTTTTTTATCTGTGGATGTACAGATAAAAATTTGAGTATAAGACAGTTCACTGCTCCAGAAGTTTGCAACAGCCTGTATCAACCACAGCAAAGAATGATGGAAGGTAACAGAAGGGGCATTTGCAATGGGTTAATATTACAGAACTCCCTGCAACAAGCTATCATTAACACTCAGTGAACTTAAAACGGATATATTAGCTTTCAGCAAGGACTCCAATGGACACAGAAAGAGTGAACCTTTACCTTCCTCCATCCTCCCTGCGCAACTTCAATTCAATACAGTTCAGAAGAAACTGTCTCCGTACGGTCTCAGTGCCATTTCTGCAGTTTTTGGTGTACCTTCTGGTGTGTATCCAGTGCTGGAGCACAGCACAGAGCACTAATCTGTCCCTGTAGGGCAATGTCAATGTTTCTGTGCTTTTCTTTCCTAAGTTGTATTTACAGTTTGGAAGTATAGTTTTTAAGCACCAGTTGACATAACAGCAATTTCTGCCCAGCCAATTATCAGTTGAGTATCACAGGCACCAAAATGGAAGCGAAGCTTTTAGGCAAGTAAAGGAAAGAGGCATCTACAAATTTGCTACGAGTTGATCACTCACAGGGCTGTGATGCTGAAGGGGCTTGTGGAGAGGGGGCAAACTCGTAAACATGGTTGGCATTATTGGCAAAGAAAGGGGTCTGATGATGGGATAAAATGAGAGGCCACATTCAGTAAGGGACTCATACCGGAGGAACTAGGCCCTGAATCTTTCTCATTGCTGAAATTCTTGTCATTGTAAAAATATCTATTAGCTCAAGTCAAATTCACATGTCACTTAATCTGTGTAATTTCACTGAAGTCTCCTCCATTTCAAAATCTGCTACACCACTAATATGTACCAGCCAGCCAGAAAAGCAGCCTTTTGACCTCTCTTCAACAGTCACAGGAACAAGAAAACGCAAATGTTAATCTATCTGAAAGCTAACTTTTTGATGAAACTAGTTTCTCATTGACAATACTCAAAAGACAGCAAATCTGTAAAAGCCTATTACAGTTTTAGTGGCATGCAGCAGTAAGATGTCACTAGCATTCACCAACTCTAGGCAACTGGACCACAACACAGACAAATCAAAGTATTTTAACAAACTTCTTAGCATGAAAACATGTCCCAACCAGCTTCAGCGGGGGCATATTGCCACCACTGGTATAAGCATGCATCTCTAAGAGGCATTAAGCTGTACCTAAAAACAGAGGCAAGCAGATAAAGATGGATAATTTCCCACTGTGCTGAGAAATGGTTTTAAATGTTTGGTTTCTTACAGCAACCAAAGTATCCATTTATTTGCCTGTATTGAAACTTGAGCCAGATTATGCCTGCTTTGAAGATGAAGGTCCATAGGACAGAAAAGTGAAACTAGGCAAAATGATTCACAACAAAGAGCTTTTTCATGGCCACTCAAGTCAAATCCAGGCACCAAAGCAGCATGGGGCAGCTGGTGCTGCTGGTGCAGCTGCTGCAGGCACCCAGCTACTTACAGTAGCAAAGCAGGTATTCCCATGACCTGAATTCACACAACTTACTTATTTTACAAAGTTTTAAGGTATAAATATTGCACACAAAAAAAAAGAAATAAAAAAATTAAAGCTTTGTCAAGGAAAGAGAGAGATAGAGAAACTGTATTCTATTTTGTTGTTGTTATTTTTTTTTCCCCATTACCATTTCTTCCTGGTTTTCAAAAACAGCTAGCAAGGATTCATTCCTAGCACAGAAGGTCTGACTCGATGTCCAGTTTTCTTCCTTCTCTGAGATGAAATAGCATTTCCTTTTGTAACCTATCCACTCACTGGGGCACTGTTCACAAGGAGATTTTCTGTAATAAGGTATAAAGCTTACAGCTACAAAAGAAAAGAGAGGACAAAATTTTTACACAATTCTTAGCAGTCATCAGCATAAATCAACCTAAAATGTAGATTTTTTGAAAGCCAATATGACACCAGATTCTAGAAGAGAAGCCAAAGGTAAGGCGAGGGTCCTGACCTCTGCCTTTCAAGGACTGTCTTCAGCTGAGGAATGTGAGAGTTGGAGGATGAAACCCAATTATTACAACCAGTAGGAAGTTAGTAGGGCTTGGAAAAAAAACTCCCAAATATTAGAGAATTAGAGGCATTGACAATTGACAATTTACACTCAGCACATTTCAAATCCAGTAATAGGGTAATAAAACTCATACTGTTAATTTATTGATCAAATTCATTTTAAGTAATGAAGTTGACTGAATACCTACAACTGGCGAGGTAATTCATGAAGACAAGTTGCTTTGATTTTGCATCAGACCTTTAAGTGTTTGATAAATCTGTCTGAAGGCAAGTAAATTAGGTGTTGAGGTGTTCATAGGACGCTAATGAAATTTGTCTGTTAATGAAAAAATGAAAATTATTATTATTTGGACATAATAGTTTGGAGAACGGTTCATTGGAGTTGTTCCCCAGCACGTTTTGATGCCCTCTCTTCATCTTCTTTTCCGTCACAGTAGTTCTGTGAGGGTGATAGGACTCACTGGCATGTTTCATTTCAGTGCTGAGTTTAAGTTCATCCAATGAAGATAATTAACTTGCATTTACTTTTGTTTCTGTTTTCTCAACAAAATTAACCTGCCCTGATTGTTAGTGAATGGTTACTGTGACCTTTTCTGTGCAGCATGGTGTCTTCTGTAACACACCTAGAGGCTCACCCAGTGTATAAGGTGTATTTCCTGGGTCATCCTGCTGGGACCAAATCCAGACCTTCTGCACCCAAGTGCGTTTTTCCACTGCTTAAGATTGGAGATGGCTAATAATTGAAATTAAAGTATCTGGCCATTATGCAAGTAGAGGGGCTTGCAGGGAGATAATTGACCTCCCAGACCCTGCAGCCTGCTGTTGTCACGCTTGCTCTCTTTCCCTTTCCAATCAGCTACTCTCTTTGCTATATATAATTGGAGACCCCTTAGCAAGTCACCTGTGAGCGCTGCCCTTACCCCCTCGCAATAAAATGTGACTGATGCCATGGAAAGAAAAGTCTAACAAAGCAAAGGAAAATAAACAGGGACAGATGTCACTGTTGTTCTCCACTTGTTTCCACATAACGCGCAGAGGACCTCACTACTACGCCTCATGCTGTTGCATGGGACAGACCAAAGACATATTTAATGCAGAGATTCAAGAGCTCCCTGTGCAGACGGGGCCGTGGAGGCTCCATTGAGATACACAGGCAACCAGTGACTTGGATACCTGAGGTAATCACAGGATCTTCATGGTTGGAAGGGACCTCTGAGATCATTGAGTCCAGCCACACACACAAAAAAAATCCAAAAACAAAAACAAAACAAACAAAAAACCCAAACAAACAAACAACAACCCACACCACACCCAGCCACAGACAAAACCCAACAATCTCAGGCACTAGAGCATGCCCTGAAGTGCCATGTCTACAGGTTTCTTAAATACCTCCAGGGATGGTGACTCCACCACCTCCCTGGGCAGGCTGTTCCAGTGCCTGACCACCCTCTCAGGAAAGTCATTCTTCCTGACACCTAATCTAAACCTCCCCTGCCCCAACTTCAGACCATTTCCTCTGCTCCTGTCATTATTCCCTTGGGAGAAAAGGCCAACACCCACCTCTCTACAACCTTCTTTCAGGTAGTTGTAGAGGGCAATGAGGTCTCCCCTCCGCCTCCTCTTCTCCAAACTAAACGTGCCCAGTTCCCTCAGTCTCTCCTCTTATGACTTGTTCTCCAGACCCCTCACCAGCTTGGTGGCTCTCCTCTGGACACGCTCCAGCACCTCAATGTTCTTCTTGTAGTGGGGGGGCCCAGAACTGAACCCAGCACTCGAGGTGAGGCCTCACCAGTGCCCAGTACAGAGGCACCATCACTGCCCTACTCCTGCTGGCCACGCTGGTCCTGACACAGGCCAGGATGCCGTTGGCCTTCTTGGCCACCTGGGCACACTGCTGGCTCATGTTCAGCCGGCTGTCCACCAACACCCCCAGGTCCTTTTCTGCTGGGCAGCTTTCCAGCCACTCTTCCCTGAGACTGTAGCGTTACCTGTGGTTGTTGTGACCAAAATGCAGGACCCGGCACTAGGCCTTATTGAACCTCATCCCATTGGCCTTGGCCCATCAATCCAACCTGTTTTGGTCCCTCTGTAATACTGCAGGCAGCACAGGCTTTGCTCCTACACAAATGAATTTTTAAAAACAAAAAGGCAGAATGACCCCCAAATTTGTGAAAAGATACGCTAGCTGCATTACCTAGTTGCCTTCCAACCTGTGACAATTAAAGGAGGCCTCCAGATCAGATATACGAGCAGCCCACACAATAAGTGTATGGAGTATATGCCTGGACATGCAATCCTCACTGAGTGCTCTAGCTGGTGTACTCTGGTAAGCTACAGGTGATAAGCACAGACAAGACATGCACACAGCACATGTAGGGCCAGGCAAGAAACTACACTCCTAAGAGTAATAAGGATGCAGCCAAAAGGAAAAAAAAAAGTACACAGCTGAATCATCTTTTAAATTCTGCCTGGAGGTTATTCAACCTTAAATTGACATCAAAACAACTGAAATAATGACCCAGGTTTTGTGACTCTGCAGTACTCATGTGGGTGCGCTTGACCGCTGTGACCCTGGAGCCCGGGAGTCAGAGGAAACATCTCTCAAGCGGAAAACATTCCAAAATCTTACCTATGACAAGCAGCACCAGAAATACACCCAAAAAAAGTAGGCACCAACAACAGCCTGTGAAAAAGAAGATCATAAATAGTTTTGTAAATATGAGCACTTAGGTTGAGACTATATTTCAGTATTAAGTGAGACAGCAGCATTTAGTTTCATTTAAGCTCCAAGGATGTATATATAAAGCACTACTGAAGTCTAACAGGGTACCTTGAATTGACATTTATATATCTGGACAGTTCAATAAAATGGCCAACTACCACCGAACTGGCTTTTTTTTTTTTCTTTGATCTGTACACACTCTAAAGCTTTCCACAGATGTGCACGCCCCTGTATAGCAAGGACCCAGTCCCAAGTTTATCATCTCCTCTATGTCCTGTAGACCTCCTAGCAATAACCTCTGGAGGCTGAGAACTCGCAGGCCACCACTGACTCCAAGTAAGCTACATCCATGTTTGGAAAACAGGAGAATGCTCTCACACAATCCAAAAATTAAAGGCTGAGGTTCAGAGTATGCCTGCAGTCTTGAATCAAATGTGTTTTCTCTGTGTCCCAAGCCCTCCTTCACACACCCGTTTCAATGCAGATGTGCAAGCACATCTGTTGCAAAGGCATACGATATTTTCTCTAATGAAGTTTGGCTTCACTTTCTACATCTTATCCATGAGTATTTCGTACAGGTAAACTACCACATGGAAAAATGCCTACCTTCTCACAAAAGGATCAAGCATAAACAGTTCACACTTGGTTCAAGCATAACAGTGAGCTTCATTTTTATGACTACAGCTTTGCCCAGAAGTGAACTCCCAGCTTTTGTCTTGTGCAAGCCAGGGGACCTGGAACTACATTTGGAGCTTGACTTTAGCTTCCTGCAGGAAGCTGTCTTGCCTAACACTAAAGAAAAAAGTCTTACATTTGATGGCAAGGTTTCCTGGAGGGGCTTGTATCATCTGGGCAGTCTCAGCCTGTTCATCCTCCTGTCCAGCTTCAGAATTCATCTACAGCTGGGAAACAAAGAAAGAAGTTATGCTTAATCATAGAATGGTTTGGGTTGGAAGGGACCTTAAAGATCATCAAGTTCCAACCCCCCTGCCCTGGGCAGGGACACCTCCCACCAGACCAGGTTGCTCAAAGCCCCATCCAGCCTGGCCTTGAACCCCTCCAGGGATGGGGCAGCCACAGCTTCTCTGGGCAACATGTTCCAGTGTCTCACCACCCTCACAGCAAAGAATTTCGTTCTGGTATCTGATCTAAATCTCCCCTCCTCCCATTTAAAACCATTACCCCTTGTCCTGTCACTACATGCCCTTGTAAAAGGTCCCTCTCCAGCTTTCTTATAGGCTCCCTTCAGATATTGGGAGGCCACTCTAAGGTCTCCCCGGAGCCTTCTCTTCTCCAGGCTGAACAACCCCAGCTCTCTCAGCCTGTCCTCACAGCAGAGGTGCTCCAGCCCTCTGATCATCTTCGTGGCCCTCCGCTGGACCCGTTCCAACAGGTCCATGTCCTTCTTATGTTGGGGGGCCCCGGAGCTGGACACAGTGCTCCAGGTGGGATCTCACCACAGCGGTGCAGAGGGGCAGAATCCCCTCCCTGGCCCTGCCGCCCAACGCTTCTCTTGACGCAATCCAAGGTGGAGCTGCCTTTCTAAGCTGCCAGCACCTCCATCTTCCTCCTCTTCATCCCCACCTTCCTTGGGCTGGGGCTTTGGCGACCGGGGGTGTCCCCGGCCTCAGCCATGCCAGGAGCGGCACCCTGCCTCCTCCCGGTGGGGCGGGCGGGGGGTCTCCGGCTGCCGGTCGCCGCCGTGCCTACCTGCGGGGAAACGGAGCCCCTCGCCGCCCGAACCGTCCCGTCCCGTCCCGTCCCCGGTGCAGAGGGGCAGAATCCCCTCCCTGGCCCTGCCGCCCAACGCTTCTCTTGACGCAATCCAAGGTGGAGCTGCCTTTCTAAGCTGCCAGCACCTCCATCTTCCTCCTCTTCATCCCCACCTTCCTTGGGCTGGGGCTTTGGCGACCGGGGGTGTCCCCGGCCTCAGCCATGCCAGGAGCGGCACCCTGCCTCCTCCCGGTGGGGCGGGCGGGGGGTCTCCGGCTGCCGGTCGCCGCCGTGCCTACCTGCGGGGAAACGGAGCCCCTCGCCGCCCGAACCGTCCCGTCCCGTCCCGTCCCGTCCCGTCCGCCCTAAACCGGCGGCCTCCGCCACGCCTCCCCGCTTGGCCTTTCCCTACTCCGCTCCCTACCGGCTCCGACGGGCGCTGCCCGGCCCCCCACACCCGCGGCCCTTACCGCCGTGGGGCCGCGTCACGGAGGGTTGAAACGGAAAGGCACAAGGGGGCGGCTTCCGCCCCACGGCGGCGATGGAGGACTCCGGCGGCGGCCAGGTCTACTCCCCGCTCTGGCGCCGGGACATGCTGCGGCGGCTGCGACGGCTCCGGCGACGGATCTCCACCGACCCGCTGCTGGCCCCGCTGCCCCCCCAGGGCCTTCCGGCCCAAGGGAGGGCCGGCGACGGAGCAAAGGCCTGGAGCGCGGCCGGGTGAGACGGGAGAGACCGCACGGGAGGGCACGGGACGGGACAGGAGCTGCGGCGAGGCCCCGGCCGGTGCCCGAGAGGAGAGGGGTTGGGATGGGGTGGGCCCAGGACCGTCCCTCCCCGTCCTGCGCTGAGGGGGGGAGCTGCGTCCTGCGGGGATTTCTGGGGGATTCGGCAATTCGATACCTCTGAAAATCCGCTCGAGTTTTAGAAATACTGAAGCTCGGCGGTACCCAGCCCTTTCAGGGGTAGTTGCAACCTGTTTGGAACAGCTTAGAATCACAGAACCGTAGAATCGTGGAAGGGACCTTAAAAATGATCGAGTTCCAACCCCCTGCCCTTGGCAGGGACACCTCCCACCAGACCAGGTTGCTCCAAGCCCCCTCCAACCTGGCCTTGAACCCCTCCAGGGATGGGGCAGCCACAGCTTCTCTGGGCAATAATAATGCCTCCGCATGAGTTTTTCATGAGTTTGTCATCGCTGTTGCTGTGATTTCACTGTTAACGTGGATTACTCTAAGTGAGTGCATTTATTTAAAAAAATCCTTAGCTCTGGAAAGGGGAGTACAGTACTTCGCCCTCTAGTTATGCTGTCTCTTGATTGCCGAGGGCTAAGAGGTATTTCAGCACGCACGTCCTCATGGCGGCCGTTGCAGCCAGGGAAAGTGAAACTAAATTGTAGTGACTTTTTTTACTGCCTGCAAGGATTTCCTAGTAGTGCAGCGTGGCAAAAGGCTGAGGAATGGCAAAGCCGTAAGCAGACTTAGGGAGGTAGTACTGACTTTTTTAACTTGTAAATTAAAGAATAAGGCCAGGAATGGCTTGAAGGTTTGCTTACCTAAGTATGACTTAGCAAATGTAGCCTGACTGACCACAAAGAGGGGCCTGCAACCCCTGCAGAGCTACGATAAGTAACAAGACAGGAAGGCTGGCACGTAGGCAACAATCATGAGGGCCAGCACAATGTTATCTTATCTCTGACAAATGGAGAACTCCAAGAAGGAGGTAGCGTATGGTAATGAATTACTGGAAACTAATGAATATGTTAAAACTCCTTACATGAACATGTATGTATGTATGCATATATGTTGTCAAACTGACTCCGTCTGGCACGCACACTTGGAGGAGCGATCCCCTGTGCGTCCAGCGCTGCAATAAAGGATACCTGCTTAATAGTCATCCCAGCTATTGAGTCCTGATTTCGTCTGTCACGGCATCACTTGGTTCTGGCCTAGAAAGTTCTTTTCACATTGAACCAGAACATGTTTAGGGTCAAATTTTAGCTGCTTCACAGTAGATGACTCGTGTCTATCTCCGCACCCCTTGTGGAAGGCAGCCTTTTGCCCTGATGTTCTCACCCGTGGTGTCTCTGGTGTAGCTGGAGCTTTGCACTTGCACATAGAATCACAGAATAATAGAATCATTCAGGCTGGAAAAGACCCTTGGGATCGTCCAGTCCAACCATCAACCCTACTTTATAAAGTTCTCCCCTACACCATATCCCCCAACACCACATCTAAGCAACTTTTAAACACATTCAGGGATGGTGGCTCAGCCACCTCCCTGGGCAGCCTATTCCAGTGCCCGACCACTCTTTCTGTGAAAACTCTTTCCTAATGTCCAGTCTAAACCCACCCTGTTGCAGCTTGAAGCCATTCCCTTGTGTTCTACCACTAATTCCCTGTGAGAAGAGACCAGCACCAACCTCTCTACAATCTCCTTTCAAGTGGTTGTAGGGAGTGGTGAGGTCTCCCCTCAGCCTCCTCTTCCTCAAACTAAACATGCTGGAGTGTGGATGCATGTGAGCATCTAATCAGAGATTACTGGACATGCCATAGCTGGTATAACTGGGAAAACTAGGACTGAGCACAGTCCTTTGCTTGTACTATGATCACCCATCTCCTGCTGAATTAATTCAGTGCGAGTCACAGATATTTTTAAGATAAAGGAGGAAGGTCCAGAGTATGTAAGTGTGTATACAATTGTATTTTCAATGAGTAAGTAACACTCTCTTCATTTCTTCATTTGAACACAAGATCCACCTAAATTACCACAGCTGGAGCCGTGCCCTGATGACTGGCTGTACTACAAGAAGAAGTGTTACTACCATTCAGAAGGCAGGCCCCCAGCGGATTGGAATTCCAGTCAGGAGTCCTGTTCCAACCATGGAGCTTCCCTTGCGGTGGTTGACAGCCGTCAAGAGCTTGTAAGTTGTCCTGTGCCATGGATTTGGTGTGATCTCTGCTGCCCTACCCCGTTGCTTGTTCCCTGGGATAGCTTGGAGCCCAGCAGACTTGTTTGCTGTGAGTCACCACGACCTACAGAGTTCTTCAGCGCCACGTGGTCTCTTCACCAAAATCCCCTGTAGAAATTCTATTATATACCTTAGAGGGTATGGCAGAAATTAAAAAGCCAAACTACGTATAAATTAAAAGTAAAGCCTGAAAGAATATGACAGTGGAGTTATGACTCCTAGTTACAAATAAAGAAGGTTGTGATTAGGGTTTTTTTTTGAGCGGGCAATTTAGGTATGCATTTTAAGTTAGACAATTTGTCCTGCCCTCTCCCCTCACACCCTCCTGGTGTCCATTCTCTCTCCAGGGAACCCAAAATACAGCCAACAGCAATTCCCACACTAAATATAACCTCTTAACTAATTTTGAGTTTACAGAGCACTGGTGTACACCTATGTGTTTTATTTCCTCGATACTCTTTTAAGGACCTGGTTCTTTTAAAGGGTGCTTTCTTTACAAATGGTTTAGTCGCCAACTGAGGAACAGAAATGTGTTGTTAGTTCTATGCAAAATAGCCAATTTCTCTGTTTCCACAAAGGGGGGAGACCAGCTGTGATGCTGGGACCATGGTATTGAAAACATCTGGTTCCTGTAGTAGCTTCTATGTGTGTTTTTTGTTGTTTTCAGACCATTCTTCTTTTTGCTTCTGTAGTGTCCCACCAATTTGGTGTTCTGTGTGGCTGATAAAAGAAAATAGCACTGTAGCCAATGCGTTTTCAGAAACGATTATAGGATCATAGGGAAGGAATCAGGAAAGTCTTTATTTTATTCACACTGCAGACGGTAAACTGCATGTGTGCCCTCGAATGTCCTGGGGTTTGGGTTTAGGTGGGCCCAATACAAGGAACAGGAAAACGGAGCAGACTCACACACTTATGTTATGCTGTTAGCATCAAGAGTAAAAGTGCGAAAATTGGGAACTTGGGGGATTTTAAGTATGTGACTTCAATTTGATAGCGACGCAACATAACTGACATCTGAGGAATTATGATGATATAACACAGTCAAGGCAGCCTGTGCAGAGTCAGGCACTGTCCCTCTGCTAAATACATCTCCTTGTACTGCAGTGCCATTCTCCTGGTGATAACAGTGAAACTATTTTACTAGTGTGTCATGTGATATGGTGTGTCTAATGACATATGTGGAGGTTTTCAATGGCAGGGTGGGACAGGGTATAGGTGGATGGGCAGTAACACTCTGCAGGACTACCACCTAAATAGCTGGGACCTCACCGACTGTTAATAATGGACCTAGGGCTTCCTGTAGTATTTCATCTAATTAAATTTAGCAGTAAAACATCACTGACCTGTGGAAAAAAAAAAGTCCACCATTGTATATTCTGTGAAACAGATTATACCTGTGCAGTGTTTATACAAAAAGCTATACAATCATGATTGTGGGGAAAAAAAAAGTCCACCGTTGTATATTCTGTGAAACAGATTATACCTGTGCAGTGTTCATACAAAAAGCTATACAATCATAATCGTAAAAAAAAAATAAATCTAACAGTCATTTTATTCTGTGTTTTGTATACAAAAAGCTATACAATCATGATCGTAAAAAAAAATCTAACAGTCATTTTATTCTGTGTTTTGTCTAGAACTTTATAATGCATCGAATACGGGTAACAGACTTCTGGATTGGGCTGCACAGGAAAGGAAACGAATTTGTCTGAGTGAATGGAGAGCCATTTGACACAAACTTGTGAGTTTTCTTTCCAATACACTATGCAGGAGGAGATGCAGTAGCTTTTTTGTCCAAGTAGAAAAGTTATTCTGTGTTACCTATTCCACTGTAGATAAATTGGCTTATCTTACCAAATGAGGGCTGTCATATGGCTCTAAAAATGCTGATACTATGCTGCTAAAACTGATGATGTCCCCAGAGAAGTAAGGAAGGGGCCTCATTGCCTGGTATTTCATGTGGTTGCATAGCAGCTGT